TGAGCGAGAAAGTTGCAGCGCTGTAAATTGCCAGTGTAGACAAGCCCTTTGCTCCCAACTCTCGCAGAGGTGGGTTAACTACATTGATGGGGAAAAAACTCTTCTGTCAACATGGGAAGCATCTACACTACAGTTCTACTGTGGCACAGCTGCACCACCATAGCTCTGCCACTGTGGCAGCTGTAGTCTAGACATGACCTAAGCAGTACGTATACGTTTTGCTAAGTCGTTATCACGTCTGTGGATGTACGAGACAACCCCAAAGTAGTCCAGACTAAAGAAAGACTATGCACTGCTGACCCGATTCTTCTTGCTTCTTTTCTGAATAAAATCGAGGATGGAAATTAATTCTAAACTGTTCTTTTTTTTATGCTTCAGTAATAGCACTGTATGGACACAATACTCAGGTGCAAGTTTAGCACTCTAGGAAGTAATGACTAGCGCAGGGGTAGGCAACATGCGGCACGTGAGCTGATTTTCAGTGGCACTTGCACTGCCCAGGTTCTGGCCACCGGTCCGGGGGGCTCTGCATTTTAATTTAATTTTAAATTAAGCTTCTTAAACATTTTAAAAACCTTGTTTACTTTATATACAACAATACTTTAGTTATATATTATAGACTTATAGAAAGAGACCTTCTAAAAACGTTAAAATGTATTACTGGCACGCGAAACCTTAAATTAGAGTGAACAAATGAAGACTCGTCACACCACTTCTGAAGGATTGCTGACCCCTGGACTAGTGCCAGACTCTGGACATCCCTGCTGAGATTTAAGACCAAAAAGCTGTTCATCTTGATAAGACCAGAGCTCTATCAATACATCTAAATTCACAAATGCAGCAACCCCTGCAGTCCAGTCCTGGAACACTTGGTGGAGCATCAGTCATGCAAAACTGTGCAGTGGTTTTGTAAAATAAAAGAATGAGAAGCAGGACACAGAACATCAAAACTCTTCCACTTAAGCACAATTTGAATAGCAGAAATGAACAGGATTTTGTTTTCTAAACTAGTAAGTAGTTGGATTTAAAAATAAAAATAAAGACTAAAAAACCATTTACATAAATTTCAGCCCTCCTCGGGCAGAGTACAAGCCATCAAGCATTAGGCTAAAGGAGATGAATGAATTTAAACAACTTCGTTAAGATGGGTTTCTAATTTCTTCAAAGTGCAAAGGTACAAAAGAGCAACTGACTATGGGGATACTTTTCTTCTGGGGGGGTTAAAGGAAACCATGAGCTCTCTGCCATTTTCCCCATCTCTGTTATGGCTCTGGCAATATACTATATACCATGATAAAGCTCTCTAGATAGTGTACAAGTACCATCCTGTGTGTTTGCACAGGTCCAAGAACAATGGAATCCCATTCCTGATGGGAGCCTCTACGTACTATCACAGTGCAAATAATAAGCAATGATAGTTATTATGACACAAACTCTCCTTAGGCACATTGACTCAGCTACATTGACAGCAATGGAATTAAGGTAAAACTGTTAAATTAACCCCCAAAAGCTTCATATTTTAGGACAGACACTGCCAAGTCTGATTCACTGAGATACAATACATCCACTGATTTTAGCATTTTAAGGAAGTTTTTAAAATCACCTTATCATGAATATGTTGCGCTGAATTTTTCAACCTGACATTTAAAAGCTCAGACCTTGTGATCGCTTTCGTTCAAACTGGCTGAGAGTCCTGTTACACTGAGCTAGCATTGACAGTCCTTTGACCTTAGTGATTATGTGTCATTAAAACACAGAAAAAAAATCCTCATCACCAGAGAAAAGGTTTTAATACTTCTTTAAAATGAATCCCCCTGAAAAAAAAAAATCAGAGGCAGGCCTAAACAAAATGATTAGACCAAAGCCTGGGAAAGTTCAGGTGCTAATTTTGCAGCTGGTCCCTCTCACTATAATGAGCTGAACCAAACAATCAAGCCAAAACACCTGTGATCATAGGGAAAGTTAGGCTCTGAACATGTTGACTTGGACACACCTCTAGCCCAAAGTGTCCTTCCAATAATACTTAACGGGTCTCCCAGCTCTTTTCACTCACCTTCTCAGCTGTGTCCAGGCGGTAGGGTGTGGGTTGTATCCTCCGGCGCTTTTTCCAGCTTGCATCAGGCTTAACGAAGCTGGGGATCCCCAGGGCCCCAGCATGACAGAAACCCCAGACAAACACCCTGTCCTTCCTCTTGGACCTCTCCCCCACATACTGAAAAACGGGGGCAGAGTCCTCAGCTTCTTTCACTTCTCTGCTGCTCCTGGTCTTGGCTACCTTGGCAAAGCCTCTGGAGAGACCTTGCACCTGCAGACCCCTCTGGGGCCCCAGCACCTGCAGCCCCCTCTGACCTGCCTGGGACCCCCCTAGCCCCCTCTGGGGCCCCAGCACCTGCAGTCCCCTCTGATCTACCTGGGACCCCCCTAACTCCCCTCTGGGGCCCCAGCACCTGCAGCCCCCTCTGACCTGCCTGGGACCCCAACAGCCCCCTCCGAGACCCCTGAAGCCCCTGCACCAGCAGCTCCGTCTGGGGCCCCACGAGCCTCGGCCAGCCCCGGCTCCCAGTGAGGAGCAGCGGAGCCGGGGCCATTGTCCCAGCAGAGCCCGATACGCCCCCTGCTAGGCCGGCAACGCCAGTCGCTGCTCTACCGCAGCTGCACAAGCTGCGCGGGAGCAGCCATCTTGGCGACCCTTCACCTTTGACCTCCCGGTGCCCTCCCCCGAACACAGGAGGACGGACTCGCAGCGCGACTTCGGCGCGTGGGTCACGTGGGCAGAACGTGCGGCGGCCATGACAGCAGAGGCAAGAGCTTTTCGGCAGCCCCGTTCGAGACCTGCCAAATCTCGCGATGCCTGTGATTTAAAGGGGCCATGCCCAAATTTTGGGGCCCCAGGAAAGAAGCCAAAAAGCATCGTGCCGGGGCCATACTATAACCACCCAGAGCAAGCCCTGGGTCCCTACGGGGGTGGTGCTGGCCCCGGTGCACCAGCTCCCTGGAGCGCTGGAAGTGGCATTGTGACATAGCCCCGCTGAGCGCACCTGCCAGGGCGGGAGCCAGCCCATCTGTCCATGAACAAAGGCGGGAGGCCTGGGCCCACCTGCCCCCAAGGGCCCACCTGCCCCCGCCCCCATTCCACCATGCACCCCACATCCCCTTTTCTCCCCTCGCTAACCTACACCCCTTTGCTTCTTTTTCACAGTGACTGCGTCCATTGCTGCTCTGCGCCCCGGACACACCCTCTCCCCTGAGCTTCTCCCTCGTCCCGTTCCGGCCCATCTCTCTCCTGGCATCTGATGCCAGAGCAGCTCAGAAGCAGAGCCTGGGCATCAGAGTCTAAAAGTGTGGTGGAGAGGAAGCAATGCAAGAAAAACCTCAAAAATGTTTTAATATGGAAGAAAAACAAAGCACTGACTAGAGACTGGAAATACTTGGAAAGATCCCACTGGCCCTCTCTCTCAGCCGCACATAGCATGGGGAAGAAAGGACCTACATACTTACATTGCAAGCTCAACTGGGCAGGCACTGTCTTTTTGTCATATGCATAAAACAGCATCTATCACATTAGCTAACCCTGTCTGTAACTGAGGTCTGTAGGTGCTACCATGCAGTTCCCCCAACTCCCGCCAATTTATCACGAGTCTCATGATATTTGGTGTTTGGTATTTTTTTAATGAAAGCTGAAGTTCTTATGCAAATTAAGTTTCTAGCCTTCGTGGCTGCAGAGAAAAGCTTGAAAACTCAAAGCCTAAAGCCTCAAAAATCAGAAGGCAAATCAAAGGCATCTGAACTTTGTTGTTTAAAATTAAGATTTTTTTAAGACAATCTGGTGATTTTCACGGGGCTGACTCACTGTTTTTAAACACGATACAAATAAATAAAAGTCTCTACACGTTTTTCTGTTGTCCCCGGAAGGCAGGAGGGAGCCAAGTTTTCTTAGACCATAGCAGCCCTTGGACACTTAGCAAAAGTTATCAGTTACAATTACAACCATAGATTGCTACTGTAGATTACCAGATTGAATTTCCTCTTTAATATCAACATCTTTTGCAAGAGGCCTGTGGTAAACCCACTGTGCAACAGCCACTGCATGGTGGGAAGGGTCTGTCAGGAAATCCCTTTCTTCAGCAACTCTTGCAATATGCAACACAACTTTTGCTGAACATGTAGCGTCTCTTGGCTGCAGGAGACAGACTGCAATTCAGCAGCACATTTCTCTGACTTGTTTATTAATCAGTCATTTGGCCAACATGAATGTATTACACACATCAAATGCCTTTTCAAACCACAGACATATTTGGCTAGTAAAACACTGTACAGGATTAAAAGAGATTTATGTATTAACTTTACATGGGAGTCTCCTACAATAACAGAGTCACCAAAAATGGCTATATTACAAAGCAAGCGAATAAATGCAAACCAGATCATCTAGGTTCCAAGTACAAATGGTGGGAAAAGAATCAATTAAGAATCTCTCTTATTGCTCAGTGCAGTGGAATGCTGAACACCTTCATCTACCATGAAAAAAAGTCAATGAGAGATGAGTTCACTCAGCACCTCATATGATCAGTGCCTTGATCAACTGTAACGAGGAGTGCGGTGGCACCTTAAAGACTAACAGATTTATTTGGGCATAAGCATTCGTGGGTAAAAAACGTCACTTCTTCAGATGCATGGAGTGAATCTCCTTATCAATTATTGAGAGTGGACTACATCCACCCTGACTAAATTGGCCTTTAACATTGGTTCTCCACTTGTAAAATAACTCCCTTCTCTTCATGTGCCAATATAGATTTATGCCTGTATTTGTAATTTTCACTCCATGCACCTGAAGAAGTGGGTTTTTTACCCACAAAAGCTTATGCCCAAATAAATCTGTTAGTCTTTAAGGTGCCACCAGACACCTCGTTATTTTTGTGAATACAGACTAACACGGGCTATCCCTCTGATACTTGATCAACTGTATTTTGTGTAGCAGTTCATAGTAAAAGTTTTTAAAAATTTGATCAGTTATTGAGAATATCTTGCAAAATTCTGTCCTCGTGTACACCAACGCAGCCTCATTGTACTCCCTGGGATTGCACAAGTATAAATGAAGACTAAATTTGGCCCATCAAGTTTAGAACAATTCAGATTTGTTGAGAGACTGAATTATATGGGGAATCTTAACTGAAGTTCCATAACCTGTAGCTCTGAGAAACTCTATGAGAACTGCTGCTCTTGTAGAGGTGCCGAAATTCAACAGAACTGTCCAGTCTGGCTACGGGGTCCTGGCAAAGAATAAGCATCAGCTTTATTTTTTTCCCCAATGGGATCATTTGATCTTGCTCTTCGTGCTCTCTGTACAACGATTCATGATCAGGTCCTTACTGGGTCGTGGCGGAACGGCCGGTTGGGCCTTGGACACGTTTTCCACTATTTCATTTTTCTCTCCTACAAATGACAAGACATAAAAATATGTGAAAGTTCCATGCCAGGCCCACTTTAATATCTATGCATATTGGTCTGGGACTTTCAGAGGAGGCCAAGTGACTTAGGTATCCTACTCCCAATGAATTTTAATCCTAGCATAAGTGTTTGATGTCAGTGGGTCCAAGATCAAGTACTAAATTGGGTCCTTCTAAAGGGAACACAGGGGCTGAAAAAATGGTTTAGAATCTGTGAAGGATTAGGGATGGACACATGCTTAAAGCTCTTTACTAAATCGTGACTCTAAAGAGGGGCTCAGCACCTTGTAGGATCAGGCCCTAGATTAGTTGAGGGGGCTGATGTCACAACGTTTAGATTCCAATACGACTTTTTGATTCACCAAATTGCAGGCAAAGAAGCCAGCAGCAGAGTTTGGATCAAGTTTCAAGTTGTCTCTCAGTTGGTTGGTTCTTGCTCAGACTCTAGCTGATCGCTGGATGTGAGATCGGGATTCGGGAAGGAATTTTCCCCCAGGTCAGATTGGCAGTGACCTTGGAGGGTTTCTCCTTCCTTTGCAGCATGGGGGTATAGGCCATTTGCTAGGTTCATCTGGGTATATCACAATCAATTCCCTGCCATTGCAGGGGGCTCAGGCACTGGGTGTACCTGGGTCCCTCCTGTTCGCTCTCTGTGGCTCATGATAATCTAGTCTCTCGAAGGCTGTAAAACACTTTGGTTTAATTTTGGTTGTTGTGTATGGAGTGCAGGTGGCCTGTGTTAGACAGGTCAGATTAGACGATTTGCTGATCCCTTCTAGCCTTAAACTCTAGGCCTGTAAAGTCTGGATCCAGAGGTTTGGTGCGGGCCTCTCTCTGGCTAACTCAATGTGCTATTTAGCTTGCTGTGTTGCTCCACGCTCATTGTATAGCTTCCCATTCACTAGGAATGTCACAAATGCATCACTGGGGCTTTCTATATATTACCTCCCATTATTTGCAGGCATTTAAGACATTTTAGAAATTGGAAATCATTGGTTTCCACCCTTTGGGGGTTAGCACCGGCCCTTCTGGGGCCTGCCCTATTTCCACCTCCATGATTTTTCATACCCTCAATGCCTTGCTATTCCAGAAACGAACCTACGCATCTCTTGAACTCATTCCATCTGTAGTCTTTGCTTCAGTGGCCTTTCCCTTTTACTTTTTCCATATATGTCTAACTCTTTGTATGAAACCCACTTCCCTATTTACTGTTCGTAGTAAACTGCTTTGTCAGGATTGCGAGAGGCTGTAACCACCATCAGATTCATCGGGCCATTTCATAATGAAGACAATTTCTCTAGAGCCCCTCAGTCTGTACTGTTCTAAAGAGAATAAACCCAACTCCTTTGTAGCCTGTTGCTTGTAAGCGCTGAGCGCCCATAGCCATCAGTGAAGACAACGAGAGGTGCACATGCTCAGCTCCTTGAAAATCTGACGCTTGGCCATTCCTTATGGTCTGGATTGACCTGGCATTGATTTGGTTGCCTGGCACGGCTGTAGAAGTGCTGTCTGCAGCTCAAAATTAGACCACGTGGCCGTCATTAGCTCTGGTGTGTGGATTCTCCCCCTGCCACAAACACCCCTGAGCAACCTCAGCAAGGTATGAGGACTTGCCAGGCGGTGGGTAGACTAGGAAGCGTAGTGATGTCCACCAGCCCGGAGGCCTAATGCGCATGAGGGTCTCCTGGAGTACAACCGTCCTCACCCCCGCCGTACATGACACCAGGCTTTCAGTCTAGCGGGTATGTCAGATGGAAACTTACTGATCACGTTGAACTTGTTCTGGTGATTGCTCTGAGTCTTCCTATACTTCATGCTGTTCCGCCTGTACGTCTCCTGGCTGATCTGCTTCGGGCCTTGGTTGTGGATGCTCTTGACGTTTCGGATGGTCGACCTGCGTAGAGAAAGAGTGACTCTTTCAGTGTTTGCTGGGTTAACTATCTAAGCTTTCTCACTTACAGGTCCCCACTGTGGGAACTTTCCCCTCTTGGCAGAGTCTCATCCTGAGGAGAGCACTCTCATTGGATTTAGCCTATGATTGCTTTTGATTATCCCAGGCAAAAGGACCATGGATTAATGTCAACAACTGTGAGCAACCTGACGGGATTTGTCGTGTAAAATTAGTCAGGCAGCATCTAGCTGCTAGGAATGAATGCTTGAAAAATGAATAAATAAGTGTGAAGCTAGGATAGAATTACAGTAAACAACAGCAATGCTTACTTAGTTCTTCCGTCGATCTCAAAGTACATTGCAGAGGAAGGCGAGCATCAGTAACTTGCTAT